AACAAATATAGGATATATGCAAATGAGTGTCGATGGGCGGGTGAGAGATGAGACATTATTGTTAATATTGTTAATAAATATGAAGACACAGGGAGCTGAACAAGCTTCTGTGGGGACGACGTTTCGCTCTGTGTAGAGCTTTACCAAGTCATGATAAAGCTCTAAACAGTGAAACATTGTTCCAAAGCTTGTGCAACCCATTTCTATCTTCAGATTTTTTATTAAACGTCAGAAAGGCTCCTAATCCAAGGAAGAGGATAGTAGCTCCAATTCCCAGGATCATAAACCCTTCATAAACATTTATATATGTTTGTATGTCTCTAGCGGCATCAGTGGATCATCAAACTCGCATCAATGTATCAAGGGAGATTCTCCACTCAAAGCTGTGAATTAATTATCATAGCCAGTAAACATTGCCCGAAAAATGACATTATTATATATAATATATATATATATATATATATATATATATATATATATATATATATATATATATATATATATATATATTATATATATATATTTTATATATATATGCAAGGAATTCGCGAGAGCATGCGAAATATACACAAACACTGATCTCTGATCACTGATCACCTCCCCCCTCACCTCACCCCTCACCCATACCTCGCCCCTCACCCCTATCTCACCTCACCCCTCACCCCTATCTCACCTCACCCCTCACCCCTATCTCACCTCACCCCTCACCCCTATCTCACCTCACCTCACCCCTCACCCCTATCTCACCTCACCCCTCACCCCTATCTCACCTCACCCCTCACCCATACCTCACCTCACCCCTCACCCATACCTCACACCTGACAGACACAGCTATCAGTTCTTCACGATAAATAATTATACTGTCACATGTAAACACGTGATCTTTCAAAATATGTTATACTGCGGCTTTCAGAGGGAGGTACCTGGATGCTGATGAAGGGCTCTTGATCCCAGGAATCAGAGCTACCATCCCATTCCTCAGATCAAATATGATTACTTCATATTTCCCAGCCACTGTGACCCCTTACGGTTTTAATGGTTTCTCGTGAAAATAATAACAATAATAACTTTATTTCTGTAGTGGTTAACTAGATATATTTTCCTTATTTTTCTTTATTATTATGGTGTTTTATTACGTATTTCATATATATTACCTCCAGTATTTAAAATAGTTACACCTTTAATTTGTATTTTGATGTCCTAATATAATTCAAATTATAAATTATTTATTTTATTTTCACATTTACGTAGCAAATTTTATTGAATTATTAGCTAAATATATTAGTTATTAAACTGTTAAAGTTATTATTAAAATTTGATTTTATCAATAGTTTCCTTCTTCTTGTGGTAATTTATTTAGGAATAAGTATTGAGGTTGATAATTTTCTCAGTAACTTAGCACTAAGTTTATCCCTCAGAGGATCACTGAGATAAATGTGCTTGTAATTCTAGCTTTTATATCTTTTCTGCCTATTGCATTTCTTTTATTCTCTAATTTCTTCACATTTTAATTCGTGTATCCTCTGTAACTTATTTATCCATTTTAATTCGTAAATCTTCTGTATGTGTCTACTTATTATTGTTTGTTATGTTCACCGTATGCTAATTTTCTCTAAGTGTAACACACATGCACGGGGCCAGGAGCTATGACTCTGGGCCAGGAGCTGTGACTCAACCCCAGCAATCACATATACGTAAGTCTTCCAGGTATTTATATCTCAGGTAACATCTTACTGATATTTACATTCCCAGGATTTTTTTTATTTTGAGTTTGCCGATTCTCTTATGTTTAGCAGGTATTTTCTCTTATGCTCTTTTGTTATTTTTCTGATGTGTTTTTCTCGGTTTATCATTGATTATTTTTTTGTGTTTTTCTTTGGTAATTCTTCATTCACTGATTTTCTGATTCTCTCTCTAAAACTCTTTTATTTCTTCAGAAATATTGATTTTTTTATATTAGCGACGAATTTCCATACATACATTATATATATATATATATATATATATATATATATATATATATATATATATATATATATATATATATATATATTATATATTGGGGGAAGGAGTGACTAGTTCACATTATTCTTCGCTGATAAAAATTTTCTGGCCTAAGACGAATTTACCTTTGGACTAGGCTATTGTTTCTTTTATCATTGTTCTGTCATAGTGATGCTTAATTTTTCTCTCTGTTGTCGCTGAATTATCAAATCTTCATCCACAAATATTTACCGCCAAATCGCTTTTATTTCTCGCTAAAAAAAATAGTCTCTATATCTTGAAAAATTCCGATTTCTCGCCAAATTTTGTGTGTCGCTAAAAACGCCTTCAGTTCTCGCTAAATCGCATTATTTCTCGCCAAACTTCCTTACTTGCCGCCAAATAAAAAGCTTTATCTCACTTCGATAAGGTCTCCACAAGATCTCACTTTGGTCCGTTTGTTCAAATCAGGCCCGTGGTCCGTGCGTCTGCTGGTCCGTGTCAGGCGACGGGGGTC